CATAATAGTTTTGTTTATTTGGGAAGTTTGAGACAGATTGACGATTATTAGAGGTTTATATCATTTTAAAACTTTAAACTAATTAGCAATGGGTATATTAGTTCATGTCACTTATATTTCATGTCACTTGTCAAGTCACTTTTTATTTCAAATGCAGTACTCATAACAATAACAAAAGAAGGTAAGTACGTACCTGTGAAAGAAGAGAGTGATGCTTGGAGAGGAGGTGCAAAAGAAGAGTTGGATGGGTAAACGAGGAAAGGAGAAGTAAACCGTTGATGATGATGTTGTTGAGTGTTATATGGTTGAGGAAGATGATGATGTTGGTATGGCACTCTAGGAGCTTGAAGAGAATAGCCGTAATAGTAAGGAGAAGGCATGATGGTTGCTGATGATGATGGTGATGTGGCTCCTCCTCCATATAGCTGTTGCTGCTGTTGATAGTATTGTGCTTGTTGCAACTGTGTGTTGTACAGTGCCTGTAGCAAGTGTATATAACTATATAAGATCATAATCATAAGCAATGTCTTTGTTTTTTTTGGTCAAGTCATAAAAAATGTCTATGTTACAACACAAATACATGTGCTGATGTTTTCATGCATTATCTAAGTGGTCGACATGTGCAAGATACGTTGTACGTAAAATCAAATTATTAATATCATATCTTGCACTTCATGATTACATTCGATTTTGCTTTATATATATATATATATTGGGCATGTGTATGTCAGCATATATATACGTGTGTGTCATAAAAGTGTAGGGGAGAGAAGGAGAAACTGACTTGGTGGTATCCAAACTGATCAGGGTTATAGGTGTACCTGAAAAAAACGAATAACTAAATGATTAAAAATTTATCTACAAGTTTATTGTTTTCGAAACATATTTTCACTATAGAAAACATCTTATAATCAGCATTATACTATAGTATTACCTCAATTATATATACATTGCTGCAGGGTTTTCTATCTACATATATTTATGTTTTGATATGTACAGCCTGACAACAAGTGGCTCGATTGACGCATTAAATTGTCTCCTACCATTTCTATCTCAGTGGACCATCCATCATCTCCTTATATATGCAAAACATTTATAATTCTCTCCTAAACTAAATACACGAGCTTCACCATAATAGCTCACCCGTAAGATGGATACATGAGCTGGTGGGCAGCTGCAGCTGGTGGCATTGGTGCAGCCATCCCTGTATAGGCTGATGGTCCTCCACTTTGGTACTGAATTGGACTTCCTGTTTGTCCTCGACCTTTAGCGAAATACAATAAAATAAAAATCTATTAAGGAACTTTTACATTAGTACTTAATGATTCCAAATTAGCAATTCTATGATATTTGTTTTTTTTTAAATGTTTTCAAAGGAAATTAAAAATGTTTGTATCCTTAAAACATCATTGAACAATGTACTTATTCTATAGTTCCAATAATTACAGCTGATTACAGCTAATATGGTTAACGTTATACGATAAAAGACAACAAAAACGAAAGAAAAAAACTATTCTCTTGATAACGTACCAACCCATATTAATATTATTATCAAACATGAAAACAAAAACTCATCAAATAAGATAATCCTCCACCTCCGGAATAAACAAAAATATAGTTTAATAAAAAAACCTCGAGGTGGCGATGGTCGAGGCCGACCAAAAGAAGCAATATTACAATTAGCTTTCCTTCCGTCGATCACCGGATTTGGCTCAGCCACGGCTCTTGTCGCAGAATCCGCCTCTTGAAACGTGACCTAAATAAATACAAAAAAAAAAGAATAAAATTAAATAGAGTTCTTGAATTAAGAAAGTTAGAGAAGAAAAAAACAAGAACTTACGAAGCCGTAGCCTTTAGATTTGCCGGTGTTTTTATCGGTGATGATGACTGCTTCAAGAATCTCTCCGAACTGATCGAAGTAACGACGCATTTCATCGGTGGGAGTTTCCCAAGCTAATCCTCCAACGAAGACTTTGGTGTAAGTCGTGTCTCCGAACGGTGATCGGTAATAGCTCGTTTGGGACATTTGTTTTTAATAGTTATTAAAATTTAATAACGAATAATAAGGCGATAATGATGTTGATCATACAACCCAAAAAAAAAAATCTGAATAAATAAGTTAAATATGAAAAGAAATTAAAGAGATTTGCAGTGGACAGAGCTGGCTTCTTTATATCATCAAATGATGTTTTTGGTTGGGCAAAGAGAAGTGAGACCAATCAAAAGGCTGCAATCTGAAGCAACCATTGAACCGGTGTCGTATTTGGTGCCGACCCTACACATTCGGAGAGAGAGAGAGGGATGTAGAGAGAGAAAGACCAAGATTGTTTTGAGATGTTCAGAATTGAGATTGGAGGGTTTTGTAAGAAGAAGGAGAGAGATGTTGACAAGGCAGCACTTGAGTATGTCTTGGCTGTCTAATTTGCCAGGTTTTATCATTATAGCTCCTCCACAACTTTCCTTCTCTATTATATTACTGGAGAGAACTTCTTTTTGATTATAGCGACGTTGTTCTTATCATTATATAATAAAGTTAATTTAATTATCTGTTAACTATACTAAATCTTAAAATAATCAATGTACTTATAATTTTGCTTACCAGATAGTGTAATAAGTTAATTTAATTATCTATTATCTATACTAAATCTTTTATGAAATCAGATCCCTAAAACTACTTTATCGTTCTCAATCTATTTTGCGACATAGATGCTTTAAATATTTATTAAAGTAAAACAACATTGTTTAATTAATGTCTAATCAGTTTTTAAAATAATGTCGATTAAAGAGTTAATAAATTTTTTTATCGATTTTGATAGTTCTGTTCGAGGCTTTTAAATGCCTGAGTCAACAAATTATATATCAAAGTTAAAACGGTGAATATTTGAAAGTTGATGAATTTTTTTTGGCTCAAACACAAATTATAAGTTTTTTTTTACTTTAATTTGAAAATTTAAAGTTTTAATGGCATTTTTCTTGTTTTGTACATATGTTGTTAAGAGATTAGGTGATTGGGGAAATATCTATGATAATATTCCTTAATTCACTATAGTACATTTAATAATATGTGGATCATGTCAGATTACAGTTGTTTAATAAGTTCAATACATTATTTAGTTTTATCTTTTCCCATGTTCTCTTTTGAGTTGGTATCTTGTTCTCTTGCTCCTGCTCGACTCTGTAGGTTTCGTGATACACAATACTACTGATGATCGTTTAAATTTATTTTCACGCTAAACTTAATATATACTACTTGTACAATATTAATATAAAATGCATTTGTATATGTATATAAATTATTGAGTAATTGTACTTATTTATATTTCTCACATGCTAACATGTACTTAACCTTCTCTTTAATCATCAGCTTACTGGAAAGCTATGAGCGGACGAAAAAGAACAGTCTGGATTTTAGAGTTACATTCTTTCTGTTTTTTATATTTTTTTCATACACTTCTGTAGTTCTAAAGTCTATTTAGTTACAATATAATCATGCCGCATAATTCCTGATCCTATAATCCGATTTGAGTATAAATGTATAATCATAAAGAAGGACGCCTATAGCTAACTGACAACCCGATGTTCGTATTATTTAACTAGAATACGTTAGCTGCTGCACTCATTTATATTTATATTGTCAAAATTATGTAAAGTGTATGTGTTGTGTATATATCAAGTATTTATTTAATGGCTAAGCCAAACAGATTGTGTAATGAGATTTCATGATTAGTGGAAGTCCATTATTCTTTCCACCAAACCATGATCAGTGGAAATGGAAATAAATCAAATATTGACGAAGAGGCTCTTGACTTTCGGATAGATCCCTTTGACGATTTCTCATCTTCCATATTTACAACTTTGTAACTACAATTTGTTAAAAAAAAAAAAAAATACAATTATAAATCAGAAAGATCATGTAGTCATCTTCCTTATTTAATTATCCAAGTTTAGTGTCTAGTGCAATATTTTCTTTATTAAATACATCATATATTTGGTTTCAAGCGATGTTAGTCGTTAATGTATAATCTAAATTTCTTATTCTAGATTATATGAGACGACTATTGTTAATAAAAACGATTATATGAGACGACTCTAATTAAACTATTACTATTCTCTCTATATATTCTCTCAGCATGACTTTATTCCAATAAAATATTTTGACTTGTAAGATATATTCATATATATGGGGGATGAAACGATACATATAAGATCTACCCGTTTCTACGTTCGTCACATAATCAAGGCATGATGTTGTCATTACAAATCCTACAAATTACCCCCTATTATGTTGAAACATCTAAGAAGAACCATACGTACACGAAGTCACGGATCATAAATCTAGCAACGCTTTGATTAATATATCGAACGACTTGTCTAACTCTTTTGGTCTTCAGAATAGTATCACATATATTATACATGCATATTGTGGGCAGGGGCGGACGGACGTTGCCGGGTACGGGGTCACGTGACACCTACTCTTTTTAAAAATTTCTTAAGTAATACGAGTTAATTTGATTGAATTGTTCATAGTTTAGTGAAAAAATAGGTATAGTACTCCCAATTCAGAATTTCTTTTGTTATATTTAACATTGTGACCCCAGCTAAAAGTGTTTCTATATCATAAAGTACTCTTCATTCAGAATGCATATTGTTATTTTTAACATTGTGACCCCAGCTAAAAATGTTTCTACATCCGCCCCTGATTGTGGGATGTCTTTTTTTATATGCGTATAACTAAAAAGACATACATGCTCTAAAGCACATCACGAGACGAGAGCAGCTTTCATAGACGCACGCACGATCATCCTTATTCCTCATGACCTTTTGCTTTTATTTCTTTCACCAAGTACACCCTATACAGGATGTTATATTTTATTTTAAGTATAATACGTACAAGCTCGAAATTTATAATATGCATATCAAATCCCTTATACTACATTTGTGTTAAGCGTAACTGTTTAAAATAGAGAAAATGGTGGTGGGTATTCAAAACATGTACTAATTACTATATATATGTATATATGTATGATCACCAAGTAAGAAATTTTAAAAAGTTGGAAGAAACATATCAAACAACAATAGTAATATTTTGCTTAAATATACATTCGTGCATCCTCATGATTAAGTTAGCTCAGCCTCCCGGGGCGGTCGCACTCTCTGGCTTTTGGAGCGGTCGCATTCACCGTGCCCTATAATTCATCCAGTTTTGATGATTATATTTATCCACATGAGACGACCATCAATTGGCAAAGCTCTCACTAATAGGAACGGAAGATCATTTTCTACTATCTATCAGAAAAAAAAAAGAGATCATTTTCTACTCATCTCTGTTTTAAATACAAATATATTATTGCTTTATAAATTGGGGAAAATATATCATTTTTCTAGTATAGAAGAACATGTTAGAAGGTTGTTCAAAAAAAAAAGAACATGTTAGAACAAAACCTTCATCTCTATTTTTATAGTAAATATCTATAAAATATAAATGGACTGGAATTGCTTTTATGGTAATATATTGTTTTGGTTATAGAAACGGTCTCACTTTTATTCAGGAGTTTATTTACCGTTAGTTGGTTTTCAAGTTCCTGTTGTGAGAGCTAGCTAGTTACGAAGACAAGGAAAAGCAAAGTGGGACCAGGAAACGTGGCAAAGAGGAGAGACAGTTGGAAGAAGTTTATAGAGAGCTGTAAGAAGAAGTTGACGATATTCTGTGAACTGTCAGCTCCTTCCTGTCACACTTAACTGCTTTCAAATAAGCTGTCTGAAATACAAATATTGTGTAATCAGTGTTTTTAAAATTATTTTGATTGTTTCTGTAGAAACATACTGGTGGTATCTTTATTATTAAAACCATTTTAATTCTTATTTTGATTCAGTTGCATGAGATATGGTTATGAGTCATACATAACAGAAGCAAACTTGTGGATTAGAGACTCCGAAAAGATGAGAACTTTAGGTGGGAAAGCTAAAGCATCTGGGGTGGTGGCGCAGTTGGCTAGCGCGTAGGTCTCATAGCTACTGAGTGATCCTGAGGTCGAGAGTTCGAGCCTCTCTCACCCCAACTCATTTTTTATCAAATCCACATTTTTTGCATGTTCTTTTTCTTATATTTCCAGGCAGTCCAATAGATTCCGTATCTAGACAACTGGCCCAAGTAGTATTTAAAACCATCAATATAACATTTTCTAATTTGGGTCTTTGGTAAGCCTACCAGGTCCAAATGTTTCATAAACGACGAAGTGGGTCATCGGTCACGCCATGGTCATAAATGCATCACGAAGCAATTATCCGAGAGGATAAGTTAGTACGATGACGAAGAAGTCAAAAAAGACTAAAACATGAGGATATTGGTACCCATTTAGATAATTTGGAAAGCTCCATCCACATAATCATCACTTGAAAAAATCCACGCTATGGTGTATACTTTATATCAAGCTCGTTAGTCATTATTTCTCACTTCAATTCTCTCACATGTTACCTAAGTTCGGTTCGTATAAGTTTATCGTCCCTACAACTACAAATACACATTCATAGGGATGGCATCACATCAATGTCGTTTAAAAATGAACCGCCGATTTTGCTACACAATCGTTTCAATAGTTATAAGATCTTTCAATTTGAGCCGCTCAAAACCTCATCTTGAGTGTTCAAACAATAAATAATGATTGGTTGTGCGAAGAAAAGAAAAGGGTTTGATTTATAGAGAGATCCACATGGAATGGGGCATGTGTGCACATGATAAACTTAAGAGCGACTGAGACTGCATGGCAATGCCATTTTATAATATTATGACGTGAGGGAGAGGGAAAGGATAGAACCCCACCAATATTAAACGAAATCACATGGAAATTCTTGTTAATTAATTAATTTTTAACTATTCATTTCACAATTATTCCTTGAGGAATTTTGCAAAAGCTCCTTTTTCTTTGATATATCATTTTTTTTTCCATTTTATATGTTATCTATCATCTATGATTTGATGCCTTCCATCGTTTTCCTACGACAATGAATCAATCAAGCTTTATCTTTGTGAGTTTAGTATATTTAAAGTAGTATTGTGTCTTGTAGCAGATCAATATTACTTTGTGATTATAAGCTATGATAAAAAGAACTTCATTCCATAAACATCCCTTGGATTATTTCGCAAAGCTCCTTTGATGTATGGTCCATTTATTTGCTATAGTATGGTCCATATATTCGTTCGGTACTATATGATTTTCGAAAAGAAAATGCTAAACAATTTCAAACAAGACGGACACAAAGTAGAAAAGTTGGGTAACCATCAACTTCGGGAAAACGAAATGTCGAATTTGAGTTTTTTTTTTTTCAATAGTGAGGCCTGTGCTCTGACCGTATATTCGATTTAATCTTATGTTTACATCCAAAAGTTTCTTACTATGTAGTAATTTTTTTTTGT